TGTTTTGGCTGGTGGAGACTAGCCTCAGCTGGCTGCCCTTGGAGCTGGGCAGGTTCTGAAGGAGGCTGATTTCCTTTCCTTCTGGGCGTTTGACAAACTAACAAACACCACTTTCCCAGATGGTTCCAGCAATCTTCCCTTATCCCCTTTCCTCTCCCCAAATCTCTGTGCAGAGGCACAGAGGAGGACAGTCTAGAAATAGCTCTGTTCAAAGGTTTGTTGGGCCAGTTCTCTCCCACTTCCTCCTAGAACTGCTGCCGGAGGAGAGCCTCCGGAACACATACCTCACCCTGCATCCTGCCCTACTGTCACTTTGGCATTTGCTTTTTTGAATTAATCCCTGGCAGCCTATTAATCCTCCAAGAAAAGAGAGAATGAAGGCAAAGGTGGGCTCTGAGACAAGGGACCGGCTGAAATAGGGCCCCCATGCCCTTGTCTTTAGGTCACTTGATGTCTCCACTGACTCACTGCTCTCATCTATGAATTGGTCACAATCAGTCACTGACTTGGCAGTCAAAAGAAGTAGTAGGTCTAAGTAGTAGGTCCACAGGCCTCTTTGATCTCAGTTCAGATCCTCTTCCTATCTCCCCAGGCTCAGTCCCCAGTTCTGTAGCAAAGGACTTCCTGGCTCCACACCAGTCCCAGTCATCAAATGCCCCTTCCTATGCCTTCCCTGTATTTGGCTCAGATGATGAGAAAGGAAGCTGATCATTTTGACAAAGTTCATTGGTCCCATGGGGCTATGGAATTGGGGTGGGTTCACCCTGTCTCCCGGGGCCCAGGCCCTTTTGGCACAAGCATGTGGAATATCCAGAAGCTCAGGACACTTTATCTTGTTCCTCCATGCGGTGCAGAACCAGACACTGACCTTCAGGGAGGCGGTGCAGTATCCAAGGGCATATGGTGATAGTGGTGATATTGGGGAGACAGAGCCAGGGAGAATAGGTGCAGGGGAGAGAGAGTCAGTGCTGTAATAAGTCCTGCCAGATCGGATAGCATCTGCTCTCACCCTTCATGTACCCACACATGCTGTCCCTACAGGAAGAGAGCTCCTTGCCCTCCAAATATGGTGCACTTCTCAGTGGTCAGCTCCACACCTGCAGCGGGGGAGCTCTGGTTGAGCGGCAAGGTCCTGGGCTCAGCCTGAGTGTGAAGAATTGAGTGTGTAGACACTGGAGGGGGTGTGGGAGGAGGATGGTCCCTCTCCAGGCCTCGGAGGGGTGGTTCATGTGGGATGGATTCGGAACCACTGCAGAAAGGGAGATTCCGGGGAGATGCTGGGGAAGAACTTCCAAACTTCCAGCAGGGCAGAGAGTCCAACCACCCCAAGAAGAGTCTGTGAAAGGAAGGGAAGTTACAGCTCTCCCCTCCACCTGCATGGAGGAGGCAGGACCAAGTGACCTGTTAGGGGAGAGGCTGGTTCTCTCCCTCCCCTCCCTGCAGCCCCCCTTGGGGTGATTCAGTGCCTGTTTGTTGAACTGGACTCAGAGGCCTCTGCCCTGACATTGTCCACAGTAACAGCAAGTAATAGAAAGCACTTTCATGTCGGATTCTCAGGGTAGGAATCTTCCAAACCCATTTTGGAGGTAAGGAAATTAAGGCTCTAACAAGGTAAAGAATGTAACATGTTTGAGGGCAGGTGGCAAGAGGAAGGTAGAACCTAGAGGTTCTTTCCATGACAGTCCGCCAGCCCCAAAGTCATGTACCTTGACCACTCTGTCCTCCCACCCGACCCCTCAGGCCTCACCTCCCAGAGTGAGCTCCCGCCCTCCCCACAGTCTCAGTCTGAGTCTCTCCCGGGTCTCTCCCAGTGGACAAACCAAGGTGCTGCATCCCAGAGAGGTCTGCCAAGCTGAGAAACGCCAGGGGCTGGTGGATGAGGACATGGGCAAGGAGCTGGGCTGCTGGGCTCTTCCCTGATCACCCACATATTAATAAAGTGCATTGCTCCCCACCATCATCTTCTTTCTCCCAGCTCTGCTTTATTTTTCTTCATAGCATTTATATCAGCAATCTATTAAGCATCTATTTTGTTATTGTCTCTTTTCCCCAAGAGACTGTCATCTCCATGAAGCAGGGACTTTTGTTTTGTTTATGGCTGTACCCCCAGTACCTCTAAATATTTATACGGAAAATGAATGCCTGCTAGGCCTGCCACTCACTAGTTATGTGACCCTGGGCAAGTTACCCATCTCTCTCTCTCTCCATCTTTGTTTTTTTTTTTTTTTTTGACACAGCGTCTTGCTCTGTTGCCCAGGCTGGAGTGCAGTGGCACGATCTCAGCTCACTGCAACCTCTGTCTCCCGGGTTCAAGCAATTCTCCTGCCTCAGCATCCTGAGTAGCTGGGATTACAGGCGCCTGCCAACATGCGCAGCTAATTTTTGTATTTTTAGTAGAGACGGGGTTTCACCATGTTGGCCAGGCTAGTCTCGAACTCCTGACCTCAGGTGATCTGCTCGCCTTGGCCTCCCAAAGTGCTGTTATTATAGGTGTGAGCCACCGCACCCAGCCTCATCCATCTCTTGATTAACATTTATCAAGCCCTTGCCATGTGCTGGGCACTATTTATTCTATGAACTTTACATGTATTAGCTTATTTAAGCCCCACACAAACCTATGAGGTAGTTACTATTATCACCCTCCATCACCAACATATGAGTAAAATGAAGCCCTGAGAGCAGAGGTGGCTGCTTAAGGGAGGTGGCTGGGGGCAGAGCTGGGATATCACAGGCGGGAATAAGTGCTTGACCTAGAGCTGAATTAATTGCTGGTGCACTCTGGACCCCACTTCTGCTGAGTGACTGTCTCTTGTTCTCTGCACCCTACTCCCATATTTCCTGGCCTATAAAACAGGGCTATTCACAGCTCCACCTTTCCTTCCCTCCTTTATTGCTCACTCTTCTCCCCAACAGGGCTCAGTCTCCCAGGAGAGGATGGAACAGGCAAGACTTGGGTGCTGGGGGCCGAGGGCGAGGTCAGAGGTGTCACTGGTGCTCTGGCTGCCTGCACAGGCAGGAAGGCTTCTTTGCCAGCCTGGGAGTCAGTCTCCTTCCTCTTTTCTCTCTCACGCTCTTCTAGGTTTTGGGTTCTCTTCCTATGAAACAGGGAGGAGTTTCTCAAGCTCCGGTGTGAAGGAAAGAATAGAGAAGTTACGTGAAAGGTGTCTGTTTCCGGTAATATGGTGGTCTGGGCCCACTCCAGCTAAAAACAACAAAAAACGCTGCATAGAATTAAATCTTTTCAAAGCATTGAAGAGCCCACAAGGCAGTAAGAAATGAGTAGGCCAAAATCTAAGTCAAAGCAGAATCTGTACTGAGGTCCCCGGTGCCCTGAGGTCATTGGCCAAGCCAAGCCGAACCTGAGCTTTGATCTTGGTGGTTTGGGGAGTGAGGAAGACAGAAGTGGAAGCCCAGGGCTCACCCCAGGAGGGGACACAAATGGGTGACCCTTCTATGATGTTGAGACTCCAAAAGGCTACACACTCAAGCTAAAAGCCAGAGGAAATCCCATCTTGCCTCGCACAAGACCTCAAGGAAGGTTATTTTGGTGCTGAGCAGAGCAGGGAAAGAAGGAAAACAGCCCTTAAGGAGCTCCAGCCTCGGGCCAGCCTTCATGTGACTCTAGCCCAAATTCATTCTCATCACCTGGGAAAGGCCAGAAAACTCAAGCTTAGATTGCTGGAAGTGCCCCTGTGCTTCAAAGACATCCCACCCGATGATTTCCCCCAGGGAAGCGAGCAGTTCACAGCCAAAAGCTGTGCTCTGGTCAGGCAAGTTCAGACTTCTCATCTGTAAAGGGGAGGCTTAGCCACATGCTCTCCAAGGTCTCCCCGGAATAGAGATTTGTAGGGGTGCAACCTGAGCGAGGCAGAAGTGTGTCCCCACTTGGTATTCTTGGGCCTCTGCAGAGTGAAGAGACGAGGCTGTGATGTGCTGGATAGGCCAGCCTGTCTTCTCCAACTGAACTGGAAGGACTCGGCAGGAAGCTGTCCCCAGTTCCCAACTCTGGGGGAGGGCAGAGGGGGAATGAAAGGGAGTGGTGTCTGAGCCCAGACTGGCCTTTGATGTGTGCGTGGATAGGTGGGCAGGTGGGGCCTGTAATGGGGCTGCTGAGGGATCCCTGAGGGCATCCTCAGTGTTGACCTACTTGAGTCTCCCATAATTGCTTCCTTCCTTTCTTGGGAGGCTACAAATAGTGAGGCCCTGTCTCTAAGCTCCTACAGCTGAAACGCCAGCACCAGCGGTGAGTGCCAGCTGCTTGGGTCCTGCCCTGGGTTGAGTGTCAGTGCAGTTTGGGGGACCCCCAATAACCAGCCTGACTCGTGACCCAGGGTCTGGCATTGGAAGCAGAGAGATGACCACAGGTGGGCCTGACAGGGGGAGGGAAGTCAGATATAGTGGATGCAGAGGTTTCCTTGCACAGTGAGGGGCTGTCGGGGAAGTTTGGACTGGGGGGTGTGTAGAGCTAAGGTCTGCCTTGGGGTGGGAGCACTGGGCTCAAGGTTCTGGTGTTCCCCTTGGTCAGGCCCCTCACTTGCTCCTTGCCTCCTTGCTTCACCTCTGAGGCTGCTCATTTCTCAGGGTTATGGCCCTTTCCTCTCCTGGGAACCTGGACACCTTGCTCCAATCCTGGGGTGTTTACAATGAATGGAATCCTGGCAGTGCTTGACATCCCCCACTCTCCTTCCCCTATTTTCCTGCCAGCCTCGACCATGCCAGCCATTTGCTCCCAGCAGGGGCCCAGCAATGGGTAAATCTGCAGGCAGAGTGTTGGCCCTGGCTGTCCTGTGCTGCAGGACTCTCGTCCCGTGGGGGAACCGGGAGTGAGTCACTGGGCTAGCATGGAAAAAACTCTTGCCTTCCTGGCCGCCTTTGGGTTTTCCCAGGCTGGAGGCATCATCCCAGAAGGGCGGTGGAAGGGGAGAGTTGAAGTGAGGGGAGGTGAGCAATTCCAGGAAGGGCTTCCCCTCCAATAGAACAGGGTACCCGTATATAGAGCCTTCCTGTTCAAAACCCCCAGGGGTCAGGAGGGTACCCTCAGGGCAGGCGAGTCTCAGATTGGTAAACACCTGAACTGGTCAACTCTCAAGAGATCATCTGGTTCAGGCTCCTGACTAGGCCTGCGAGGTGGGATGACCCCACCTTACAGATTAGGCCCCGCCCCTGAGACCCAGAGAGACAAATGACTCACCAGGGTTGCACCGCTGGCGAGAGGGAGAGAGGATCCCACGAGTTTTTCTTTTGGATGCAGCTTCCTTGAGTTCAGGGCAGGAGGCAGGATGAGGGGAGTGGTGGTGAGGTGGTGGGGGTGCCTCTCAGACCTGCCCCTCCCTGCTAAGGCCTGGCTTCTCCAAGGGCCTGAGGGCAGAGAAGCACAGGGCCAGGCTCTCCTTGTGCAAGTTCCCGCGGGAGGGAGGCTTCTAGGGCATCTCATGGGCTGGGGCAGACTGGGACCGAGCCAGCCCTGGGTGTTGGGGATAAGAAGAGGTGGCAGAGAATCCGGGAGTGCTTAAGGAGCCCCGCAGTGGGGAGTGTGGGTGGTGGGGTGGGATGCTGTCTCTTTGAGGAGTTTGCGGTGATGTTGGGGCAATGAGACCTCCACACGGGGAAGTAACAACAGGACACCAGGGAGATAAATTAGGAGGGGCTGGTGTGGTCCGGGAGGGCTGCTCAGAGGAGGGGGAGACTGCGGGGCCTGAAGCCTGATGGAGGTTAGGATGGGTCTGGGAACAGTCTCTGAGAAACACAGAGGGCAGAGGTGAGCAGGGGGGTTGGCCTGGAACTCTGCTGTGAGTCACACCCTTGTTCTGTGACAGTGAGGATGGCCAGGCCTCTGGAGCAGGCGGTAGCTGCCATCGTGTGCACCTTCCAGGAATATGCAGGGCGCTGTGGGGACAAATACAAGCTCTGCCAGGCGGAGCTCAAGGAGCTGCTGCAAAACGAGTTGGCCACCTGGACCCCGGTGAGCAGTTGGAGTGTCTGTCCCCTCCTCGCCCAGTGGGAGGCACTGCCTAGACTCTGCCAAGAGAGACCTGGGGACAAGCATGAGCACAGGACAGCAAGGGGAGGGGGCTGGTTTGTGAGGAGGAAGTGGGAGGGGAGAACTGACATAGCAGAAACCTCAGCTTCCTCATCTATAAAATGGGATGACAATCATCACACCTGCTGCCTTGCAGGGTTGTTGAGAGGACTGAGCGAGAGCACCATGAAGAATGCCTAACACATAGTAGGCATAGTAGGCACTCAGTAGCAAATAGTAGGTGCTCGATTAATAATCTGAGAGGGCAGATTTGGGAGGGGATTGCAACGGGTGCATTATCAGAGCAGGGAGGTTGAAATTGGCCCTCGGAAGGGTGTAGTTTGGGGTAGGGTGGGTCCACTTGGGAGAGGAGGGAGGGAGGTGGCGTGTGAGGCTGTTCTGCCCTCCTCATCCTACTCCCCCACTCCTCCCCACCCTTCCCTTGCACAGACTGAGTTTCGGGAGTGTGACTACAACAAATTCATGAGTGTTCTGGACACCAACAAGGACTGCGAGGTGGACTTTGTGGAGTATGTGCGCTCACTTGCCTGCCTCTGTCTCTACTGCCACGAGTACTTCAAGGACTGCCCCTCAGATCCCCCCTGCTCCCAGTAGTCTCTGCTCCAGGGGGTGCGCCAGCTGTTGGGGGCTGGGCATGTCTCCCATACTCCCTCCTACCCTCTCTCCTGTACCCCTTTCAATCTGGACTTGCCCAGGTCTTCCGTGATCAGTTAACCCATTTTACCTAGGAGGCCCAGAGATGTGAGGGCTCCTTTCCCAGGATGCCCAGCAAGTGAGGGGTAGAGCCACTCTGGGCCCCAGCCTGCCTGCTGCACCCCTGCGGCCTCCCTTGTGGATGGGAGGAGGCGGGATCTGCTGTGAGGCCCTCGAGGCTCAGCAGAGCGTGCACCAATGAGACCACGATGGGAAAGGGCCTGTTTAACTCCTAATAAAACACTGGCATCAGCTTGGTTTTGTTTGATTCTTCTCTGAGGACGCGTCTGCTGAGTTCTTTGCTCCTTTCTGGCCTTTTCTACTGCAGGAAGGCAGCTGAGGGCAGGGGCAGGGGCAGGGGGCTCCCCCAGGGAAGTTGCAGACCTTGCAGAAATGCAGTGGCCTCCAGGGTCCAGCAGGAGGGCGTGGGGCCAACACAGGGACCCCTGTCCTCCCTTCCTCTCTCTCTCTCTCTGGGGTCTTTGAGAGAGGACCGCCTGAGTTTCCCCTGGGACTCAGTGCTCACGGTTGGATGACCTGAGGAGGGTGGGGCCGTGGGCACAGTGGGGGTGTTTGTTCCCTGCCCCGGGCTGTGGGAGCCCAGAAAGCAGCACTAATGGGATTAGGGTGTCTGAGGTGTTTACTCCCACCCAGGAAGTTGTGCCCTGTGTGGAGGGGGAAGGGGATAACTTGAGGCAGCCCCTATCCCTGAAGCTGCAGTCCCCTGAGGGCCTTAACCCCCTACTTCTAACCCTCACTGAGTTTGTAGCCCACCCTGAGAGGTTGGCTCGAATTCTAACTCCCCTATTTCGTGCCATTTCACCTCTAACTCTCCACCCCAACCTGGATTCTTCATTCCTGACACTCATCCCAACTTGAAATGGCCCCTCCTGATACCCTCTCCAAACCTGAGATCTATCCGTGAGCCCCCACGTGTCACTGCCACTCCATACTCCATCACTACCTCACCCAGGACCTTTCCCACTGACGTTCCTGAAGGGGTCCCAGAGCCTCATTTGGATGTGAACCTGTTCCCCTCCAGATCCCCCAGCCCCGGCCCTGAGCCTTACTTGGCATGGCAGACAGTACTGGGCATGGAGATCCCTGCCCGAGTTTTTGTTTTTGAGTCTTTATTTTTTTAAGAGACAAGGTCCGCTGTGTTGCTCAGGCTGGAGAGCAGTGGCTTGAGCATAGCCAACTGCAGTCTCGAACTCCTGGGCTCAAACGATCCTCCTGTTTCAGCTTCCTGACTAGCTGGGACTACAGGCTACAGCCACGCTGCCCGTCTAGTTAAAAACAAATTTTGTTTTTCCTTTTTATAGAGACAGAGGTCTCACTATGTTGCCTAGGCTGGTCTTGAACTCCTGGCCTCAGGCGATCCTCCCATCCCCCTCCCTAGCTTTTGTGTCGCCATATTTCCAGGGCAATCTTCCATCTGTCACCCACCACCCCCTGCATCTTCTTTCCTAGCTCCCTGATGGAACTACTCCCTCCCTGTCCCCCATGCTCCAGGCACAGACTACCCCTTCCTCCACCTCTCTAAAACTCAGGCTGAGCTATGTACACTGGGTGGTGCCTATTGCATCCAGGTCCCTGCTGGTAACTGCTGGGGCTTACCCGTTACCCAAACAAGAGGCTTGGTTGCAAGGCTGGGCTGGTGGAGGGTGCTGTGGCACTTAACACATCAGCCCACAGCAGGAAGGCAGTATCCACTCTCCCCTGTCCCCTGCTATGGGCAGGGCCTGGCTGGGGTATAAATAGGTCAGACCGCTGGGCCGTCCCCATTCTTCCCCTCTCTACAACCCTCTCTCCTCAGCGCTTCTCTTTTGGTTTGGTGAGTTGTGTTGGCCTGACTGGCAAGCAAGGGGTGTCAGAGGCCAGGGCTGGGGCAGGAGAAGGGGAAGCTGGTGGGGGCCAGATGTGCTAAAGAGATCCAGATGTGAGACTCTGATGTGGAACTCTGGGTAGAGTGTGTGCGTAGGTGTGCATGTGTGTGGGTATGCATGTGTGTGGGTGTGCATGTGTGTGGGTGTGCATGTGTGTGGGTATGCATGTGTGTGGGTGTGCATGTGCACACACACACATGCACGTAAGAGGGAGGAAAAAACCAACAGAAAAGCGAGTGAGTGGCTAGATTTGAGCTCTCCAGGTGCTTCCGAGATGTGGGCTTGCACATGCTGTTGCTATAGTATGTGTTGGTAGGTATGTGCCCATGGGTATCTGCACTGGCTCATGTTTGCTGGGTTGCGCACTCGGGAGCAGGAAGCAAAGGAAAGGCAGAAGGCAACTGTGGGCGTTCGTCTGGTGGTGTGCCCCATGAGCCTCTGCCCTGCACGCAGCAGCCCAGCTCAAGAAGGAGCGTGGCCTCTGCACCTTCTCTTCCAACCCTTGCCTCTGCCATCTCACTTTGCCCCTCCCTACGCTGAGCACTAAGCAGCTGGTTTTTTCCGCTGCAGGCCCCTGGGCAGGCCTCCAGCAGCCGCACCCAGTGCTGGGAGGGAGAAGAATGGCCAGGGCGGGGCCTTTGTGGCTGAGCCGTGGGAGTGGATAGACTGAGCGAGGGATGGAAAAAATGCTGTTGTTGAGGCGAGGCCTGGGAGGCCCTGGGAGCTTGCTGCCTGAATCTCCAGAGCCTGCGCAGTGGGTTCTGCAAATGTTCACTGCCCAGAGCATGTGTTCCCCACTGTGCACACCCTCCCCGCCAAGTGCTGGGCCCACTGCTCTGGGCTCCCCCAGGGAGGGAGCAGAGTCTCGCCAAGTGCTCCTGGAGGGATGGGAGGGGAGCCTGGCATTCTGAACACATCTCTGAGGGGTGGGGTAAATAAGAGGGTCTCTGTGCCTCCTGCTCCCAGATCCTGACTGCTGTCATGGCGTGCCCTCTGGAGAAGGCCCTGGATGTGATGGTGTCCACCTTCCACAAGTACTCGGGCAAAGAGGGTGACAAGTTCAAGCTCAACAAATCAGAGCTAAAGGAGTTGCTGACCCGGGAGCTGCCCAGCTTCTTGGGGGTGAGTGGGTAGTGCTTGAGTGTGTCCCCACGTGGGGCATTTCCCACAGAGGAGGGCAGCAGTCTTGCTCTAGAGCATTAGCTACAGAGGGCATCTATCAGTGGGGTGACTGCCTGGGGTGGAAACACATTGAACACCACCGCTCACTCACTGGCCCCTTATGCTGAAAGAGGGCTGAGAACGAATGTGTCAGACACTGCCAGATGCTTTGCACAACTTAACTGAAGGGAAGACTAAGCTCAGAGTGCTAAGTAACTTCCCAAGGTGGTCAGTGTACACAACTGCCATCTGGACCAGGACTGTCTGACTCTTGCCATCACGCCAACAGTGGACACTGTTTGAGTTTCTGTTTGGCTTGTAGATGTGAAGACACAGATGTGGAGGTGATCACAGGCCTGCAGACATTCCCCTCAAACAATAACAATGTATATTTGTATCAAACATAATACAGTTTGCATATTGCTTTCATGACTATTACTACCTCATGGGATTATTAGAGCAACGTTGGGTGAAAATGTAGTGGTTCCGTCATTTTTCCATTGCACCAGGTACTCAGACTTCCTTATCCAAGGAGTACCTTCTCCATCCTAGCTTAGCCTTGAGGGTTGGAGTTCCAAACTGGACCTCCCAAAGGAGCCTCCCTGAACTCTGGTCTGGGAGTAGAAACTGGGTCTGGTCCTGGCTCCCCCTACTGGGCTTCTGTTTTCTATCTGTAGCCTCTTCTCCCTCCAGAAAAGGACAGATGAAGCTGCATTCCAGAAGCTGATGAGCAACTTGGACAGCAACAGGGACAACGAGGTGGACTTCCAAGAGTACTGTGTCTTCCTGTCCTGCATCGCCATGATGTGTAATGAATTCTTTGAAGGCTTCCCAGATAAGCAGCCCAGGAAGAAATGAAAGCTTCTCTGATGTGGTTGGGGGTTCTGCCAGCTGGGGCCTTCCCTGTCGCCAGTGGGCACAGTGCCCCACCCTGGCCCCTTCAGACACGTGCTTGATGCTGAGCAAGTTCAATAAAGATTCTTGGAAGTTTTGAGGCTGATGGTTTGAGAGACTCTGGGGGCATGGGTTGGGGGCTGAGAGAGATGTTGTGGGGTGGTGGTGGGGAGAGCTGAAGTTTTATGGAGAGCAAACCAGTGAAGTCAGGGGAGGGATGCAGGATGACTAAGAGTGTATGCACAGGCAATAAAGTTCACTCAGTGAGGTCAAAGCTGAGAAGGGGACCCCATAACCACCCCCTCGCCAAGGTTTGGAAGGCCCCAGCTGTGGGATCTCAGCCAGCCTACTTACCCCTCCCACCTCTCTCCAACCTTGCCTCTGACAGGATCTTGAATCGAGGCTGGAATTGAAGGTCCCATCTGTTCCTGGCTGGGGTCTGGAATGGAGTTTGGGTGTCCTGGGAGGAAGTCAGAGGGAAAAGAATAAGGCTGAGCTGCAGGGAGGAAGTACTTAGGTGACAGTGGGATGGGGAGGAGAGCTGGCACTTAGTGCTGACATTTACAGTCCAGGCTCTGTCCTGCCACCACCTTCCAGATCCCTGGCTTCAAACCACAGGGATGGATTAATCCTTTCCTGTCTGTGGTAGGATCAGGGAAGGCAATGTGGAGGGAGACCCGGCTGTTTGCAGCAGCATGAGAATACAGGCATTCTTGAATCCACCGTCTCTGCCACAAAGGTCCCTGGATGAGATCTGTTATCAGTTAGGAATCAAGCTCCTTCAGGGAAGGACAGGGGACCTCAGAAGAGATGAGTGGGGGTCAGTGGCTGGGGTGGGAGTGAGGCAAAGGGTGGGAAGGTGACCATAGTTTGGAGACAAAATTCCACATATGTGGAATTTTGATCTGATAAATGAAATCGAGATTATTTCCCCCCCACCCCAGAAAATATGAGGCATGATATTGCTTCCCCTTAAGTAGGTTCAAGGCCAGTGGTTCAAGGGTGCAGTGGTGGGCTGAGGTTAGACTTCAAGGCCCTGCCTGGGTGACACAGGGATCTTTAAGGAAGAAGTGCGTGGAGATCAGGCGCAGAGGCTTGGTCCCACTGACCTCCTCTTGCGGGTCCTCTTTCCTCTCATCACGTGGGGCTTTTCTCTCAGGTTTCAGAGGAGTGGGGCAGGTGACTCAGATGTTCCCTCAGGGTTTGACTGCAGAGACTTGAGAGGAATTTCAGTTCAGGAGAAAGTCTGCTGCCTTCCCCTGTCCTCTCCATCCACCCTCCCTGGGAGCACCCTCCCTGGGGCCTCCACCTGCATCACGCTGTCCTTCAGAGATGCCTGCTGCATAGCAACCAATCCCTGCTGCCTCTGCAACCTTGCCAGTTGGGGGTGGGGTGGAGTGGGGAGCAGTGGGGAGGCCTCCCAGGCTGGGGTGGGACTGTAGCAGTGACAGGCACTACACCCTGAGCCCAGGTCTGTTCTTGGACTGGTGGTAGAAGTACTGTGGTAGAACAATGTCTGAGTGTCTTCTGGGATACAGGGAACTTCCCTGGCCCCTACTCCCTCCTTGACTGCAACCTGAGCCCGAACCCCCCTCCCCAATCCACAACCTCTACCTCAGTGCTGGGCCTTAGCCCTTCGTTGGGTGCCTTCCCTATTCCTGATTCTCAGTCCTCCATGCCAAGAGCCTCCGACAAGCCTTTCCTGTGAAAAGCAGTGAGGCCTAGAAGAAATCATTCATTTAAAAGCCCTTTAAAAACCTCTGGGTCCATATTAGCTCACGACCTTGACCATATCCTTCGCAGAAAATATCTTCCTCCACTGATCCCCATCTCAAGGGCTGTCTTCTCTGCTTCTGGAGTGGGTGGCAGGATGGGTGGGAGGGTCCTGATGCAGAGAGCTTCCTAGGACACGGGGAGATGGTGCCCTCTGTTTGACCCACACCTCCGAAGTTTTCTTTCCAGGACAACCTGGTTTCCCTTCTTCGACTTATTGTTCCATCAGATTTCAGATTGTGAGTTCTGATTTTTGGTCAGAAGAATAAAGTTTCTGGGATTGGGGACGTGTGTGCTATGGGAACTCAGTGTGTCCCCAGCCCTTGTTTGTAAACAACGAAGGTGAGATTGGCAGAAGGGGTTTCTCCCCAGCTCCATCCTGGGAGGCTCTGACGTGAGCATCCCCAAGTCCCCAGCCCCTTCCCATGGGCCCTTTCTTTCCCCTGGTTTCCTGGGGACAGAGAGCAGGGGAATAAAGTGAGAAGGCAGTGAGAGGGAGCTGTGTCTGCTGCCTGGATTCTCTGGGCTCACTCCCACAGTGGTAAGTCCTTCCTTCTTATGTCCCTGTTTGTCTGCTATCTGGTGGATCACACTGGATGGTGAGGGTGACGAGTGGTGGTGACCTCCACCAAGGAGGCCTGGCCCCACAAGCGGGCATGCACTCGGGGAGGAAACGGCAGAGCCTTTGGAACTTCTTGAGAAATGGCTCTGGGGTGGAGGTGGGGGGCCTGGACTAGCCAGGATGCTCCTGCAGGTGCACAGAGGCCCTTGCCTTCAACTGCGGCCCCAGTTGAGTCTCCTTGAGGTGGGAGAGGCCGAGGTTTTGGGTGGTGGGAGAGGAATGATGGGTCTGGTTTAAGAATGGCAGGGAGGGCTTTGGGCTGGAGGTGAGGACAGGATTAACCTGCAGTCCTCAAGTTCTGTGGGTGTTGCCTCCTTCCTCCCTGAGGGGGAAGTGGTTTTTAGTCTGAGTCACTTGATCTCCATCCGTCTCTTCCCTTGGCTGGGGGTGGCTGTGCCATTGGAATCCAGGCCTTTATTCAAGCGTAGCCTCTGGATCCAGGTTTTGGAATGATCCTGGAGATTTCAAGAGGCCCCCTGCTCTCCCTGCCTGCCGGCCTGTCTGTGTGTGCACTGCTCTGGGCCAGAGTCTGGAGACCAGTTGGGCCAGCTCAGCCACCTCCCTGCTGCTCCTTGTTGAGCCCTCATCTCCTAGTTCCAGCCCAGCCCCCTCTCAGCCCTGGACTCTCTCTTTGCCCTGTCCCCCACTTTAATAATGGGACACTCCTCGATATCAGGTGATTCAGGCACTGGGGGAAAGGCTGGTGACTAAGGTGGGAACTGTCTGTGGAAAACCAGTTCCTAGGCTGGAAGGGGCAGAGAGAAAATCGTGACCCTTGATCTGCTCCAGCATCTGCCACCAGGCTTTTTGAGGAGGTCGTCTTGTCATCTTTCTGCCCCAGGCCTCCTTTTCAACAACTCCCAAGCAGGAGAGTCTGCGGTCTGCTTTGGGGGCTGGCCGTTCTCCTTGTACCAGCTGCTCCAGGGTTTGCTGTGGGTCTCACTGTAACCTGTGCTGATACAGATGGGTGCTCTTGTTAGTGAATTTCAGTCTCATCTTGGGTTCCAGTCTCTTGTCTTTGAGGGAGGGGCCTCAGAGGTAGGATAGTGCTGCTGGTGGTGACTTCCTGAGGAATGGGATCTTCCCCGCTCCCTCTGCAGAGCTGCACACTGTGATGGAGACCCCTCTGGAGAAGGCCCTGACCACTATGGTGACCACGTTTCACAAATATTCGGGGAGAGAGGGTAGCAAACTGACCCTGAGTAGGAAGGAACTCAAGGAGCTGATCAAGAAAGAGCTGTGTCTTGGGGAGGTAGGTGATTGTTCCCTCATCCTCCACCCCAAAGTCTGAGTACTCCCTCTGGGGGACACATACCTACTCCCAGGATCCTCCAGCCTAAGCCAGGGGCAGGGTGGCCAAGGGCTACAGACAGAGACAAAGGAAGACGGTGGGGATTTGGGGCCAGCAAAACTCTAGCCCTCTGTGAAGGAGGATGCGTCAGGGTCTCACTGAGAAGGAGGAAGGGCTGAGTCTGGAGGGTTTAGAGAAGGAGATTGAGCCTTCGATGGTGCAGCTAGGCTTTCGCAGCAGTGGCAGAACCTGTGCTAGGGGTCGTGGGTGGTGAAGGGATGCAGGGTGTCCAGGTCCAGCTGTGTACAACCCAAGGGTAGGGACCCCGCCTGATTCTTCTCTGTGTGCACAGCATGGCCAGGGCTCTCCAATGGTGCTGGCTCTCCAACTGAAACTATGTTTACAAGTTACCCTATGTTAACTCGTAAACATAGGGTAGCCAGGAGACAGAACTGGTTCTCACCAGATGGAGGTGGCGTGAGGGAGGTGACTGACAGAGGGGAAGGCCCAGGAGGTTATTATAATACAATATCCCTGAGGATAAATATATATATATATAAAAATATAAATATATATACATATACATATATATATTTATTTATTTTTTTGAGACGGAGTTACCCTATGTTAACTCGTAAACATAGGGTAGCCAGGAGACAGAACTGGTTCTCACCAGATGGAGGTGGCGTGAGGGAGGTGACTGACAGAGGAGGTTATTATAATACAATATCCCTGAGGATAAATATATATATATATAAAAATATAAATATATATACATATACATATATATATTTATTTATTTTTTTGAGACGGAGTCTTGCTCTGTCGCCCAGGCTGGAGTGCAGTGGCATGATCCTGGCTCACTGCAACCTCTGCCTCCTAGGTTCAGGTGATTCTCCTGCCTCAGCCTATTGAGTAACTGGGATTACAGGCACGCACCATCATGACCAGCTAATTTTTGTATTTTTAGTAGAGATGGGGTTTCACCATATTGGTCAGGCTGGTCTTGAACATCTGACCTCGTGATCCATCCGCCTCAGCCTTCCAAAGTGTTGGGATTACAGGTGTGAGCCACTGCACCTGGCCAAGGATAAATAAGACTCTGTCACCCAGGTTAGAGTGCAGTGGTGTGCTCATGGCTCACTGTAGCCTTGAACTTTCAGGCTCAAGCGATTCTCTCACCTCAGCCTCCTGAGAAGCTAGGACTACAAGCGAGTACCACCACGATTAGATAATTTTTAAAATTTTTTGTAGAGATGGGGTCTCACTATTTTACCCAGGCTGTTCTTGAACTCCTGGTCTCTAATAATCCTATCGCCTCGTCCTCCCAAAGTGCTGAAATTACAAGCATGAGCCACTGTGCCTAGTCTTATTATTTTTACAGTTAAAAAAATCAATGCTCAAATGCATCAAATAACTTGCCTAAGGGGGCTGAACTGGAGTTCTGGGCCAGGCCGGTGAATTATCCTCCCTGTTTCCTTTAAAATTTGGCCTGGGTGCCTCTCCATCTATTACACCTTGAGCCCTGGTAGGCCCTCCCAGAAAGAAGGTCCACAGTGTGCCACATGGGCAGGGGACCAAAGCAGGTGTGGGCGTCCCCAGGCCTGATCTCTGGCTTCCGCCATGTTCCCTGCATCCTGGAGTTAATGAGGGCAAAGGGAGAGGCCACGGGTACAGTAGGGGTTAATTACAGAAGGAGAAACGCCCATGGGAGGGCCTGGCAATAACAGGAGCCCAGGCTGGGGACTAGGATCATATCACAGACAAGCAGTTTCCGCCTCCATAAGTCCCAATGTCTCCTGTGAAAACCTGTAGCTGATGGCAATGATGAGGAGACATCAGGATCTGCTTGTCTATATTTTCTTCCTGTTCCACCCAAAGGACCCTGACTCCATCGTCGTCGTGGAGCCAGGCTGGGACATCAGAGGACCAGACAAGAGTGCACAACTGGGCTCCAGGCAGGCCTCTTGCACAGCTCTCCTAGCAGCAGAGGGATGCAGTGGCTTCACAGCCCCGGTGCACTGCTCTCATTGAGAGACATTTTGTCTGGGCTTATTCTCACCTAGTCCTTAGAATGGGGAGAGAGTCACTCAGAGACTTGGATAACGCTCAGTGCCACATAATCAGCAAGGTTTTTTTTTGAGAAGGAGTTTCATTCTTGTTGTCCAGGCTGGAGTGCAATGCGCATGATCTTGCTCAATGCAACCTCTGTCTCTCAAGTTCAAGCGATTCTCCTGCCTCAGCCTTCCAAGTAGCTGGGATTACAGGGATTCACAATCATGCGCTGCTAATTCTGTATTTTCAGTAGAGATGGGGTTTCACTGTGTTGGTCAGGCTGGTCTTGAACTCCTGATGTCAGGTGATCTACCCGCCTCGGCCTCCCAAAGTGCTAGGATTACAGGTGTGAGCCACCGCGCCTGACCCAGCAAGCTGTTTTTATCAGGTGTTAGTATAAAACCCAGATGATTGTTTATTTGGCTGGGGGACGGTGTTGCAGGGAAGGCAGGATAGGCTAGCATTCCTGCTGTCATTTATTTCCATTCAGGAGTCAGGTCCCTGACCCCCTACTTCATGCCAGGCCCTTGCCTAGGTGTGGGCAGCAGGCAGACTCTGGGGGTCGAGATGCTGACAGTGTCACTGACTCAGCTGGGGCTCACACTGAGGTTTCAGGGTGGGTATGACACCATGCAGTGGTGCGAGGGCAGGGCTGGGAGTGGGGTCTGAGTTGTCCCTCCACCTGGGTCTGTGAAGATGAAGGACAACAGCATCGATGACTTGATGAAGAGCCTGGACAAGAATAGTGACCAGGAGATCGACTTCAAGGAGTACTCGGTGTTCCTGACCACGCTGTGCATGGCCTACAACGACTTCTTCCTAGAGGACAAGAAGTGACCCGGGCTGCCCTCCGCCCTTACCCTCCACCCCTTGCTGCTGACCTTGGCTGCTCCTCTCATGGACCCTCTTTGGCCCCCTGCCCTCCTTTCCCTCCCAGATGGACCCTTCCATGGGAGGAAATAAAGTTTCCATTGCAGGTGCTGGGAGTCTGGTTTTGAAGCTGTCTTGTCTACCTTGGCCTGGGGAGAGGGGAGCACAGGAGGGGTTTCTCCTTGAGTGGGTTGAGACAGCCTCTGCCTCTGGGGTTTAGGGTCCTGGGGTTTCACTGCATTCTTCTCCTTCTTTGGTGTGGATGTCTCATTGGTCTTGTCGTGGCTTAGTTTTGCCTGCCTGGAAAACGGGGAAGTCAGGCCAGGCGGGAACTCTGCAAGGATGCAGAGGAAGCTAAGAGGGAAAGTTGCTTTGAGAGGAGGACACTGGGAGGGGTTGGGAGTGGCAGGCAGGCCTGACTTGTCCATAGCTCACCGGAGGCCACCTTGACAGCACCTTTAGGAAGGGCAAGTCTGGCCTCCACACCAGCCCCCTCCCTCTTCTCCATTTCCCCTTCAACAGCACCCCTCTCATCATCTCTGGGGGCCAACGCTTTCTTCTTTCCCTACCTCCTCCATCGAAATCTTTTCACAGGGGAGGGTCTGAAATAACAAATGGTGCTTACAGGGCTGGGTTCCCGCCTGCATGCACACTAACACGAAAGGTGCTGTAGTGAATGGAATTTGGGGCAGTGAGGGGAAGGCGTGGAGATGTGGTAGGAACTTGTTGCTGGTGGGGGATGGGTGCCATAGATATCCTTTAGACCACAGGCTACTTCCCCTATCTCCTTTGGGGTGACCCTGAGTATTCTCTGCGGAACACCGGAATCCTGTGAGGCGCCCTCCTTGCCCACATTGACGCTGCGCTGGCTCGAGGGTCACATTCACGGTCTGGCAGAGGGAGCAGGGGTGACCGCTGCCGTCCGCCTCCTGCTCCCCTTGCCGAGTCACGTGTCACGAAGAGCAAACTGAGCAAAGTGAGCTGCGCAGATGAGGGGAGACTCGTCGTCACCGGGCGTGCAGTGGCATCTGCTGGGCTCCCCCATCCCGTCCTAACCCGGAACAGCCCCGGGCAGGAGGCGTGGAAAGTCGAGGGGAGAAACCGCGAATGTGTGTTGTGTAAGCCAAGGCGCAGGGTGGGGCGCGGGCGGGACTTGGGCGGGTGGGGTGGGCTTGGCCGAGCCGGCCTCCGGGGCATCGACCGCTATAAGGCCAGTCGGACTGCGACACAGCCCATCCCCTCGACCGCTCCCGTTGCACTTGGCCGCCTCCCTACCGGTGAGTTCTCGCCAGGAGCCCTGGGTACTTCCCAGGGCCAGCCGTCCTCACGCTGGGGCTCCAGCCATCCCCTGCCCCGTCTAGCTGCTAGATCCAGGCTGGGGCCGTCTGTGGCGCTCCCCCGCTGGAGGGATAGTCAGAAGCAGCAGTGCTGTGCCAGGCAGGCCTTGGGCTAAGGGATCCCAATGGGGTGTGCTCTTTTGGGGTGCGGAAGGGAGTGCCCTGGGTGTGTCATTGCCACCACGTGTGGCCCTGTGAGGCTGTGCTTAAGCTGCCTGTGCAGCCTCTATCCCCTTCCCCTGCCCAGCCATACTCCCTAGCTTCTGGATCCCCTGAAGGACAGTTCTCAGCTGTGCCCAAAGCTACTGTTCCTATATGCTTCTTAGAATCCTTAAGCCACCTCTCCTGCCTTGACCCTAGTCTTCTCTCTCCTTCCCCTTCAAGTCCTGGGCTGTCTCCTGATGCCATTGTGTGTGGCCTGAGACTGGGTGGTTCCAGAGGGGTCGGGGCTAGTGCAGGCAGCATTATTGGGCGGTGTGGGTGAGAAGTCCTTGCTCCCATGGCACTGACAAGGCCCTCTGCTGCCAGCTCCAAGTCCAGCCCTCAGCCATGGCATGCCCCCTGGATCAGGCCATCGGCCTCCTTGTGGCCATCTTCCACAAGTACTCCGGCAGGGAGGGTGACAAGCACACCCTGAGCAAGAAGGAGCTGAAGGAGCTGATCCAGAAGGAGCTCACCATTGGCTCGGTGAGTGGCCTCCTCTGCAGGACCCCTTTTCCCACCCTTGTCCTTTGGAAGCAGGATTAGGGGAGGGAGAGGTGCCAGGTGCATCTGACTCACATTTACCCACATTCTGAGGCCCTGGTCCACATGTCTTACTGAGCTGTAGACCCACTCTCCCAGAGGGTAGGGGATGCTCCCAGCCTGATATCCATTGCTCCAAATGAGGGCCAGTAACTGAGGAGTAGCTGAGGAGAAGTAATGCCAAAGTGAAACTCAAGGTGGACATAGGTCCTTGGTGATGAGGGAGCACAGATCCACTTGCAGAGATGGCTGCCTGGGAGGGGGAAGCGGAAGAATCCAAGATTGTCATCACCACTGAGTCTGAATTTCACATTCTAACACGTTAGAAGCTGCAGGATGCTGAAATTGCAAGGCTGATGGAAGACTTGGACCGGAACAAGGACCAGGAGGTGAACTTCCAGGAGTATGTCACCTTCCTGGGGGCCTTGGCTTTGATCTACAATGAAGCCCTCAAGGGCTGAAAATAAATAGGGAAGATGGAGTCACCCTCTGGGGGTCCTCTCTGAGTCAAATCGAGTGGTGGGTAATTGTATAATAAATTTTTTTTTGGTCAAATTTACCCTTGTGTCCTGGTTTCCGAATTATTTCTGTTCCTCCTTGACTTAGTGGGGCACCAGCCATCGGAAGATTAGCTCATAGTCAGCCTCTGAAAATGACTCATTGACTCGCCAGGCCAGGGGACCCACCCTGACAAGGCTCCCTCTAGCACATAAGGTGCCTTTATGTGAATGAGGAGAGATGCCCCTCTTGGCAATGCCATCCTAAGGAAAGCCTCAAGTGGTTTCCAGTAGAGAGTGTCCTGGGATGAGGTTGGAGATGGAAATGGTCCCTGGGCTGGGATGTGATGGGGTTTGGGGGCCTGGAAGTGGGGCAGAGATAGTCCCAGAGGCTCCCAGATGAGTTTTGCTCTGGGTGTGGCAAGAAGGGCCCTGGGGTGGGGCAAGTCGCCTTTCTCACCACAGTGCAGGGGGCAGATAGGACACATCTGAGATGCCTGAGGCTTGGCTAGGGGAGTTTCCTAGACCAGTGAGGACGCTGTGTGACTGAGTCTACTGCGGCTGTGCAGGTCCCAGGTGGAGTTGGGGAGGCACACTCTAGGAGTGTCCCTGCATTCAGGGATGAGGGCCTTTTTGTTGGAATGGTGGCCTGAGGAGCTGGCAGCTGCACCAACACGTGAACCAGGGGGTGCTCAGTAATGGGGCGGGGTATCTCTGCAGCCTCAGCATAATGACTCATTCGGCACTTCCACGGGATCCCAGCCTGGATCTCAGCCCCATCAGAGAAGATGACTAATTGAATTATTGTCCATCGTCTACATTAGTGTTTTCAGGCAGGAGGGAAGAGGGTAAGGAGGGTAAATGCTGTTTCCGGATGATGCCACATCATTCAGCCTCTCTAGGCCTAGTCCGAGCTGGGCAAGTCCACCTCTAGCTCCTGGGGAAGAGATCTTGACTTTAGATGGAGACCACATCCTTCCGTCCCTCTCACCTCCCCCACTTCCCTTGGGGGTCCAACTTTGTGGAATTAAGTTGTCTTCTGAATCCACTGGGTGGGGATTGGTAAACAGCTGGGAGCCGCACCTTCTTGGAGCCCCTCCTTCTCTATTGCCTCCCCTGTCCTGCAGGGAGAAGTCGCGCTGTTGGCTGCAAGAGACCGGGGACCGAATTCTCCCTCTGCACAGCCGTGCCCAAGCCTTGGCTCTATTCAACTCCCTCTGGAAAAGTACGCACTCCCCAACCCCTCCCGCGCCCCGCTAGGTTCCCGCCCTACGCCCCTTTCCTCCCCCTTTCTTCCAGTTCCTCGCCGCCTATCTTCCAGTGGCGGACAACTTGGGGCTCGGAGCGAGCGCCCTCCTGTGAGCAGAGAGCAGCAGGCAGCGGGGACAGTCGGGTTGGTTTTCTTGAGCCTCTGGCAGGGGCCTGCCGTAGGTCTGTGGCCTGGCAGTCACCGAGTCCCTAGGAAGAGGAAGACAGAATAGGGCGCCCCGGGAACGTCAGGGTAGGTGATCCTTTGGCTCCCGGCAATCAGCCCTAGAATTAAGCAACTTAGCTTCACAATCGACACACCTACCACAAGTAAGTCCATGAGGGAAAGGCGGTCCCTTTGTAAAGACAAATGGAATCTGAATCTGAACCCTGCGCCTCCCCTCCCCCACCTGCAACTCTTCTGCAAGGCTGGAAGACCTTCGTACAAATAAATGCTGCCTGCGGAGAGGGAAGAGGAAGCCCGCTGCTGCGGGGAGGGGATGCTCAGGCAAGGCAGTCCGCCGGGCGTTCCTGGGGAGCTCTGGTGGGTGGGCAGGCCACCGGTGCAGGGGAATCAACACAGGTGCACGGTCCACCTGCTAAGTAAACAGGCGTGTCCTTTCGTTTCTGCTTCTCCACAGTGGTGGAGGGGAACGGGAACATGGATTTCAAGAATAAGACAACAAACAAAACAAACAGCAAATCTTTAGGGGTATAATTTTTAAGTTTTTTTTTTTTTTTTTGGCAGGGGAGGGGAGGGAAGCAGTATTTACAATGGAATATGGTAGGTGCAGCAGTCAAATGGTGGAATTGGGTGTGGAGAGGTGCACAGACTGGACATTTTATTGCTCCAACCAACTTAAAGTTGTAATTGAATCCTTTTAGCTCACTGTTGAGTATGGTGTGGGCTTATACGATGGGGAAAAGTTAGGATGTGAGCTGAGGGCTTCGTGAGAGGTCACTTTACTTTTCTGAAGGTTGAGCAGTGGGAGTGGCTCTACATCTCTCCACTTCCTTCAGCTGAGGTCAGCCCATTACTGACATTAATCCTACAATCTAACCACCCTAACGCCGGTGAAGCTGCAACAGCAGCACCACAGACCATCTCTGTAAGCTGGGGCGGGCCCCAGGTAAGGGGGTTTAGGACTGAGTTACAGGAAGTGGCTCTCTGTTTTTTGCCAAGCAAATAGGAAATTGTCAAGAATAATGCCACCATCTTTGTATAAGACCACACTTGTATAGCAACTTCGTTTTCATGAGGTGCCTGTCATAGCCATTGCGTCTGGTCATCTTCAGAAGATTTATGTATAGTATGTATTATTTTATTTTAATAGAGACTGTTTCTCTCTGTTGCCCAGGATAGAGTGCAGTGACACTATCATAGCTCACTGCAGCCTCCAATTCCTGGGCTCCAGTGTTCCTCTCACCTCAGCCTCCCGAGTAGCTAGGACTACAGGTGTGCACCAACATGTCTAGCTAATTTATTTTTTGTAGAGATGAGGTCTTGCTGTTTTGCTCAAGCTGGGCTTGAATTCCTGACCTTAAGTGATCCTCCCTACTTGCCCTCCCAAAGTGCTGGGATTAAGGTGTGAGCCATGTGAGCCGCTGTGCTCAGCTTGTATAGTATATATTATTAACCCCACTGGACAAGTGAGAAGAGTGAGCTACAGGGAAGCCATTGCCTCTACCCAGGTCAGACTGTAAGTTAAGAGGGAACTGTGAGCAGAGCTGAGTTCTCCTGATTCCAGGCCAGCTTGTTAGTGCCTGTCTCATGATATTCTTTAACCATTACTTCCTTATCTTTTTCTCTTAAATGTTTTAATTAGATATTGGGAATATATAAAGCTGTTTATAGACTACATCTAAGATACAAGAACAATGACACAAAACCCACCCAGTTTAACAAGTGAAAGTTACCATTACCTTCTAATTCCCTAACTTGTCTTCCCTATCCCATTTTCTTCCCTCTCAGTGGAACCGCTATCTGGTAATACTATTTGTCATTTCCTTTCTTAATAATTTTTACTACACGTATTTTCATCTCTAAACAATATATGGGTTTACATTATTGTGAGTTTTATGTAAATGGAATAATATCATGTGCATTGTTCTGTTATTGGCTGTTTTTCACTCAACATTATGTTTGAGATTTATCCAAGTTGCTCTAGTTTGCTAGATTTCACTGCTATGCAAGAGTTCATCATATGACTACATTATTTATCCTGGCCATTGCTGATTATCATTTTGGGTTATTTCTATTTTTCCCATTACAAACAGTGCTTCTGTGACCATTTCTGTAGATATCTCCCAGGATTCGTGCCAGAGGTTCGTACCTATGTGTGGAATTGCTGGAGGTTTGTACCTATGTGTGGAGTTGCTGGTGTGTAGAGTACTCACACTTTCAGTTCTACTAGAAAATGCCACCTTGCTTTTCAAAGTTATTGTATTAATTTGTACTCATACCAGCTTTGCATGTTCCATTTACTCCATATCCTTATTTTTTGTTGGGCTAATTTTTTTTGGTGCCTAGTATGAAATATTAACCGATTTTTAAAATTTGTATTTCCCGGATTACTGATGATTCTGAGCATTTTTTTTTTTTTAAAGTAGAGATAGGGTTTCACTGTGTTTGCCAGGATAGTCTCAATCTCCTGACCTCATGATTCGCCTGCCTTGGCCTCCCAAAGTGCTGGGATTATAGGCGTGAGCCACTGCGCCCGGCCAAGCATCTTTTCATATATTTATTGGCCATAAGTTTCTGGTCAAGATTTTTTCTCTTGTCCTTATATATGTTGCAATTGTCATCTAGTTTGTGGCTTGTTTTTTTACTCTCTTTAAGGATTGAAAATTAGGAAGGTATTAATTTACTTATTCCTTTTTTTTTGAGACAGGGTCTTGCTCTGTTGCCCATGCTAGAGTACAGTGGTGTAATCTTGGCTCACTGCAACTTCCACCTCCCAGGGTCAAGCAATCCTCCCACCTCAACCTCCTGAGTTGCTGGGACTATAGGTGTGTGTCACCATGCCTGCCTAATTTTTTTGTAGCGATGAGGTCTCACTATGTTGCCCAGGCTGGTCTCAAAATCCTGGGCTCAAGTGATGCTCACACCTCAACCTCCGAAAGTGTTGGGCTTGCAGGTGTGAGCCACCCTGCCTCACCTAGATTTTTAAAATATCTTTGAATAACATGTTATCATTTTCAGCATGCATGTACTTAATTGCACAATTTATTGACATTGTTGGAAATGCCATATTTTTTTGTTTATGGAAAGGCCAACCTCTGTAACATTTTAAAAAATATTTTATTTTTAATTATTATTATTTTTTAAAAGAGATGAGATCTCACTGTGTTGTCCAGGCTAGTCTTGAACTCTTGGGCTCAAGCAATCCTTTCACCTCAGCCTCCCAAAGTGCTGGGATTACAGGCATGAGCCACCATGCCTGGCTTATAAAATATTTAAAGAGATTTATTCTGAGCCACATGTGAAGACCATGACCCATGACACAGGTTTAGGAGGTCCTGAGACCATGTGACCAAGGTGGTTGGGTTATAGCTTGATTTTATACATTTTAGGGTGACAGAAGTTACAGGCAGACATCAACACATTAAGGTATACACTGATTTGGTCTGGAAAGATAGGACATCTCAAAGTGAAGACTTACAGGTCATACGTGAATTCAAAGAATTTCTGATTGGCAATTGATTGAAAAAGTTAAATTATTACCTGAAGACCTGGAATCAATAGAAAGGAGGGTCTGGGTTAAGATAAAGGATTGTGGAGACCAAAGTTCTTATTATGTAGATGAAGTTTCATAGGTGGCCACCCTTAGAGACACTAGATGGCAAATATTTCCTATTCAGATGTTTAAAAGATGCTAGACTCTCAGCTAATCTCTTCTATGTTTTTCATGTGCAACATGATTTTTTATTGATGCCTAATAGTTGTACATATTTATGGGGTACATGTAGTATTTTGAAACAAGTACACAATATGTAATGATCAAATCAGAGTAATTAGGTATCCATCACCTCAAGCATTTACCATTTCTTTGTGTTGGGAACATTCCAT